CTTTGCACATCAGCCCCGGATTTCAGAGTCTCTAGGACCCGGCTCCTCTGCCCCTCCCAAGTGCAGAATCCAGCTGCCCCAGGGCTCAGGGCATCGCCCCAGGGGCAGACTGGGGCGCCGTCCAACCGACCTGCACGGGGATCCTCTTGGCGATGTCCACGATCAGCTCCACGTTGGCGTAGTTGTTGTTGTTGGGCCCTCCCGGGACGGGGACGTACTGGTCTGCCATCTTGATGTACTCTGGAGTCAAAGGGAGAGAAAAGGGAGAAGAGCAGAGAGACTAAGTCGGCCGTGCAAGACACCCCCACATACGGCCAATGAGAGCATCACCAGGACGAGTCTAGGGCGACACCGGACAGACGTGTGTGATAATCAGAAGAAAACTGAACGTGACTTTATCTATGTAAAAATATGTGTGTTTGGCCCGGCCGGTGTGGCTCGGAGCGTCGACCTATGAACCAGGTCCAATTCCCGGTCAGTGCACATGCCTGGGTTGCAGGCTCACCCCCCAGTGGGGGCTGTGCAGCAGGTTAGCCGATCGATGATTCTCTCTCATCATCAATGTTTCTCTCTCTCTCCATCTCCTTTCCACTCTGAAATTATATATATATATATATATATATACATATACACACACACACACACACACACACACATACACACACACAATACATGTGTGGGGACTAGGCCTGGAGGGAGCAACAAAAAGAAAGAAGCAAGTTATCAAGTAGTGAGATTAGAGGTAGGGTTTTATTTCAAACTCCTAAACTCTTATCTTCACATTGTTTTGTCATGAAAGAATACAATGTTTGCATATCCTCCAGTGAAGGTTAAAAAATATACATAAGATATAATGTTTGCTTCTAATCATGGTAAAAAAAAACAAACAAACATAAAATGGACCTTCTTGCTCATTTTGGGAGTGTACAGTCCAGTCGTGATAAGTCTATTCTTATTGTTGCGAAACAAGAGCTCCAGATCTTTTCCAGTTCACAAACTTAAAACTCTGTGCCCATGAAACCACTCCCCCTTCTCCTCCCCTGCTCCTGGCAGCCACCATCCCACTTTCTGTCTCTAAGGCTTGGACCTCTGTCTGTATGAACCTCATCTAAGTGGAACCAGAAGGTGTTGGTCTTTCTGGGGCTGGTTTATTTCACTTAGCTTCACGTCCTCAAGTTTCATCCCTGTGACAGTGAATCAGTGTTTTGACTTTAACATATTCATGCTCTTTAAGCCAGAGGTCCCGGAGATCATAAAGTGAGGAGTCAGACAAGCCCCCTCCTCACCGAGTTTCTCTCTCCTGAGGGAGAAGACAGACAAGCAAACAAACAGGATCACCACCCACTGCGGCAGTGCCTGGGCTCTGCGATGCGCAGGGAGGAGCGGAGACCGGAAGGAAGGTCGGCCGGGGAGGGGTGGAGGCCTGCTATGCAGTGAGCTTCAGAGAAAAACACTCAGAAAAGGGTCCAGCACACCCCAGGGCTCTGCGACAGGAAACAGCAAGGCCAGTCCAGGAACGGAGGCGGCCAGCGTGACTGGGACCCAGGGAGGGAGGGCGAGAGGCACGCGATGGGGTTAAGGCCAACAGGGTCTGGAACTTCACTCCGAGCATGATGGGAAGCCTCACGGGATAAGGCTGTGGACTCAGACAGTCCTAGGCTCCAGCCTTGTCATGTCAAAGAAATAATAATGAGTGGACCTGGCCGGTGTGCTCAGAGGTTAGAGGGTCGGCCCATGCACTCAAGGGTCAAGGGTTCGATTCCTGGTCAAGGGTTTGATTCCTGGTCGAGGGCACATACCTGGGTTGCAGGTTCACTCCCTGCCCCCTGTCAGGGTGCGTTTGGGAGGCAACCAGACCTATGTGTCTCTCTCACATAGATGTTTCTCTCTCTCTCCCCCTCCCTCCCTGCCTTCCACTCTCTCTGAACAGCAATTGGTCAAGGGTTTGATTCCTGGTCGAGGGCACATACCTGGGTTGCAGGTTCACTCCCTGCCCCATGTCGGGGTGCGTGTGGGAGGCAACCAGTCCTGTGTTCTCTCTCACATAGATGTTTCTTTCTCTCTCTCTCCCCCTCCCTCCCTGCCTTCCACTCTCTCTGAACAGCAATGGGGAAAAACATTCTCAGGTGAGGATTAACAAAAATAAATGAAATATGATCATAATAAACGGAGCCACTTGAACATGGAGCCGGAGCTGCCGAGCAAGAGGAACTGCCTTCCACCTCTCTGCCTCAAATCTTTGGAATGTTGAAAAGGGCACCGCTCTCTCTGAACAGCAATGGGGAAAAAACATTCTCAGGTGAGGATTAACAAAAATAAATGAAATATGATAATAATAAATGGAGCCACTTTAACATGGAGCCGGAGCTGCCAAGCAAGAGGAACTGCCTTCCACCTCTTCTGCCTCAAATCTTTGGAATGTTGAAAAGGGCAAAATAACCTTTGGACTGGGCCCAGGACCACACTGTGTTGCAAACAAGAAACTGTTTGCAAAGATAACAAGAAAGCGGTTATTACGGCTACCGGACTGAAGATTAAGAACATCATTTAGAATTAACATCACTATAGTACCTGCACCAACAGAAATGCCTTCCTTCTATTGATGCAATTATTCCCCTTCCCTTTCTCCTAACTACCCCTTGCTTTGGTATCCTAATCCGAACACCGTTTGGGCTTCAGTCTGAATCAATGCATCCGAAATAGCTATTCTTGGGAGATCTCACCCGCATTTTGCCTCTCCCTTTGAAAATGAATAGTCGCATGCCGTTTGTATGACCCTGGGCAAGTGACTTCTGTCCCCGTGCCTCAACTGTCTCATCTGTAAAAGGGAGCCAACAATCAAACCTGCCCCCGCCGTTCCCTGTGAGTTAAAAGGAGGCTGCATCCTGGTAGGGCAGAGCCTGGGGCCTGTGCCCAAGGTAGGGTGGTGGGGAGGTGGGGTTCAGGGGACAGGACTGAGGTTGCTGGTGCTAAGGACAGCACTGCGCCTCGGAAGCATTACAGGAGGGGCCGACAGGACCTGAGCTGTGTTTTTATTTTATTTTTTTTTTTAACTTTTTAAAAAATATATATTTTATTGATTTTTTACAGAGAGGAAGGGAGAGGGATAGAGAGTTAGAAACATCAATCAGCTGCCTCCTGCACAAAATGTGCCCACAACCAAGGTACATGCCCTTGACCGGAATCGAACCTGGGACCCTTGAGTCCGCAGGCCGACACTCTATCCACTGAGCCAAACCGGTTACAGCCTGAGCTGTGTTTTTAAAAGGTCTGTTTGCCTGCTGTGTGGAGAAGGGTCTGTAAAGGGATACGTTGTTCTGGGTAAAAAGCAAATTGTCCAATACCTATAGAATGATCAGTGGTCAGCAAACTGTGGCTCAGCAAGCAGCTGCTCGCGAGCCACATGCGGCTCTTTGGCCCCTTGAGTGTGGCTCTTCCACAAAATACCGACTTCTGCGCATGGGCCACAAAGTTTCTATCGCACTGTACATGCGCGCCCACGCGTGGTATTTTGTGGAAAAGCCACACTCAAGGGGCCAAAAAGCCACAGTTTGCCAACCACGGATTAGGCTAGTAGACACAGAAACAGTAAATAAATAGGCAAATGGTCGAACAGATAACTGAAATACAGTGATCCATCGGCAAGAAAAAGCATCTGGAGGGAGAGACACCAAGCTGTGGCTACATGGACAGCGCTCACAGATGGGAATCCGCTGTGCACGTGAACCATCTGCACTTTTATAAGACACAGAGGTCACTCCTGTTATCAGCAGATATTTTAATTAAATGAAGAATAAAAAACAAATCCAGTAAATTCAGGCTCATGAGAGAGGTAGCCTGGAAGTCTGTTTGGGGTCCAGAATGGACTTGCCCAGGTAGGTGCAGGTGAGGGCAGGTAAGGACAGGGCATGAGGGGTGGGAGCGGGAGGGAGGGAAGGCCCAAATACCTGCGTTGGCCTTGAGGTCCTCTGGAGTCACCATGACTACAAACCGGATGGCCCGCTCATTTCGGAACATCTCGTAGGCCCACCTGCGGATGGAGCGCATGCACTTCACGGCGGCGATGCCATTGTTGGCGATGAGCACCTGGACAAGGAAACGGAGGAAGGGACGAGAGCTGCACATCTGCCTGCAACGGAGGCTGCATGCCACCCTGGGGTCCATCTCACGGCTGCAGAGGCTCCTGGAGTACCTGGAGCACATGGCCCCACACAGGGCGGTAAGTCTGAATGAATGGATAAACGGATGGATGGATGGATGAATGGATGGATAGATGGATGAATCAATGGCAAGATGGGTGGGTGGGTGAATGGGTGGATGGGTGGATGGGTGGATGGGTGGATGGATGGATGGGTAGGTGGATAGGGGGATGGATGGATGGGTGGATGGGTGGATGGATGACTGGATGACTGGATGGATGGATGATTAATGGATGGATGGATGATTAATGGATGGATGGGTGAATAAATGATTTTTGATGCCTGTTTGGCGCCATTGTGGTCACTTAACATTTTATGAGTGTTTAGGATGTACTAAGCTACAGTACAATGTATTTCATTTCATCTTCACAACAGCCCTTTGAAAGAGATTGTATTATTATCCTTATTTAGGAGTGAAGACATTAAAACTCAGAGGAGTTAAGGCACTTGCCCAAGGTCACACAGCTAGTAAGTGGCAGAGCTGGGACCCGAGCCTTCCAGTCTGGCCTGTGCTCTGAACTCCACCCCCACATGGCTGCCTCTGGGTGCTGAAGGTTAAAGGGCCCCGATCTGGTAAGGAAAGGCAGTAATGCTGGCTGTCTTCGCAATAGAGAGCAACAGAACGGGTCCTGACTTCAATTCTTGTCTGTATCACGAACGTGCCGTGTGGCATTAGACGGTTCCTAAAAAAATCAGGTGCCCGGCTTCAAAGCCCTGACTGACAAGAGCCAATCCATACAGGGGCAGGCAAAAGTAGGTTTACAGCTGTGAGCATGTGAAACACAGTCCATTCTTATATTATTATTTCTGTATTACTATATTATTATTATTATTTCTATTAACTTATTTTCGCCCGCCCCCGTATTTTAAGGCCCTTACATCGCTGACTAATCTTCACCACAGCCCTGAAAGGCAAATCTCGTTGGAGAAGTGAGATATTATTATTACTATTAACTTATTTTTCGCCCGCCCCTGTATTTTTTAAGGCCCTTACATCGCTGACTAATCTTCACACTTCAATTCTTGTCTGTATCACGAACGTGCCGTGTGGCATTAGACGGTTCCTAAAAAAATCAGGTGCCCGGCTTCAAAGCCCTGACTGACAAGAGCCAATCCATACAGGGGCAGGCAAAAGTAGGTTTACAGCTGTGAGCATGTGAAACACAGTCCATTCTTATATTATTATTTCTGTATTACTATATTATTATTATTATTTCTATTAACTTATTTTCGCCCGCCCCCGTATTTTAAGGCCCTTACATCGCTGACTAATCTTCACCACAGCCCTGAAAGGCAAATCTCGTTGGAGAAGTGAGAGGTGATGGCCTCTGTTTTATAGAAGGGGAACCTGGGCCCCGATGTCACATCCCATTGGTGGCCACAGCAGAGCTCCTGCCTCGGGTCCAACGTACTTTCTCCCCTTTGAAAAATGGCAAGTTTGCCCTGGCCGGCGTGGCTCAGGGGTTAGAGTGTGGCCCATGCACCAAAGGGTTGCAGGTTCGACCCCCGGCCCTGATCGGGGTGCGTGCGAGAGGCAACCAATCTATGTATGCTCTCACATGGATATTTCTCGCTCTTTCTCTCCTACCCGCTTCCCACTCTCTAAAAAAAAAAAAAATCAATGGAAAAAATATCCTCGGGTGAAAATTAACAAAACAAAAAAAGGGCACATTTTAGCTGTTTCCTTTCGTCACTGCCATTCTCGCCCATGGGTCTCCTCTCCTCTGAGGGGGCTGCCGGCCCTGGGGAGGCAGGGCTGGGCTTTCTGCTTCCCTCCCTATAACCCAGAAAGCAGCCCCTTGCCAGAGGCACTGCGGGGTCCTTTGCGGAGCCCCTGATCTCACTCAGAGGCCTCAGTCTCCTCCTCTGTGAAAAGCTCACAATCCCAGCACCCGGCACATTGCACGTGCTCACTAAAGGCTGGCCCTCACCCTCTCTCTGCAGTGTGAGCACCCTGTCTGCAGCTGATTCTCCAGCCCACCCTGCCTGGCCTCGCCCAGAGCGCGGGACCCCATCTGTACCTTCTCAATGACCCGGTCCCCCCCAAAGCGCATGACAAACTCGGCTGGCGAAGCCACGGTGAAGTCTCTGTGCACGTCCACCCGCTTGTGTTCTCGGCCCCTCTTCACCAGGTGGAGTCCAGACATGCTGGGCCTGCGGAGGGAACAGGGCAGGCACGCATGAGCAAGGACGCCTGGGGTGCCAGGGAGGAAGTCGGGTGCCCAGCACCCATAAAACCAAGGTCCACACGGAGAAGCATTCATTTCCCAAGGAGACTCAAGAGGCGGCCAGCACAAGAATAAAGCAGGAGCCGTCCCCAGACCCACCCCGAGCTGTGCATTTAGATTTTTCGTCTGAAATTAATTTCCACTTGATATGCCCATCGTTTAGGAACTCAACCCTAAGAAGCTTGGAAGAGGGGTGCAAGTGTCTGATCAGGGAGGGAGGATCACATCCTAATACTATAGACGTGTTCGACTGCGGTGGTAACGTTCATACACCTTTCTGTGTGTACCAACATTGTAAAACTGAAAACAAAAAAACATATAATAAAAAAAGTAGGGGTTCCTTGCCCCGCCCCCTCCAGATCCCGCCAGCAGAGGGATCACTCTGTGCCATTTCCACACAATGTGTGTGTGTCATCACTCTGAGAGACCACCAGTGACTCCCCCTGCCCTGAGAAACGAGGAATCAATGCTCTTACTTAGCCATCCCGTCCACGGCCCTCCTCCCGACCCCTCACGAGGCCCAACTAGATTCACTGTTCAGTGTTTTAAGAATGAGATCGTTACCCACAGGTGAGGGTTGAGTTAGATTTTCCTTCCTTCCTTTCTTTCTTTTTTTTTTTTTTGGCCTGGAGTGAATGATTGTTTTCATTGACTTGTTTTCCTTGCGCTGTTGCTCATTCCTCCCATTCCTTCTCGCAGTTTCCCCCTAACCTAAGATCACTGATCCTCTCCACTGGTGACATCCTCCACTCTCCTTTCATCTAGACTGGCTGTTCTCGGGGCCCTCCCTCTGCTGACTTCCTTCCATTCTCGTTGCCTTTCCTTGAGATCTGTTCCCTAATTTGGGGGACCCCGTGGCTCCCTCTATCTTGGTGACCTCCCTGGTTTGTCTAGGGCAGTGGTTGGCAAACTGCAGCCCCTTGAATGTGGCTCTTCCACAAAATACCATGTGCGGGCGCGCACATACAGTGCGATTGAAACTTCGTGGCCACACTCAAGGGGCCAAAGAGCCGCATGTGGCTCGTGAGCCGCAGTTTGCCGACCACTGGGCGAAGGCATGTCCTCTAGTAGCTTCATCCAGTTAAAAGGAGGGCACCATGGCAGGGCACGTGACGACAATGCCCCCCGACATGCCTGTCCTGCTTCCGGCTGCTTCTCCCTCGTCACTGTCATCCCAGAGTCGCGTGGGTTCTAACGTGGATGTTTCCTATCTCCGATGGTGTGGCTCTTCCTTGGTTTGCTCTCGTGTTTCCGTGGGAGACATCCTCGAGTAGCTGTCTAAGAAAAGGTCTTCAGGGAGGTAAACGTTTTGCAGCCACACATGTTCCAGAACTGTCTTCTGCCCTCACATGGGACCCTATCGCCCGGCCGCATGCGGAATTCTAGAAGGGAAAACCTTCTCCTTTGGAGTGTTGGAAGCCCGGTGCCATTGTGTCGTGGCTTCCGAGGCTGCTAGAGCCAGAGCCATTCCGACCCTGGATACGTGGTGGGTGACCTGTTTTTTCGTATCCAGAAGCTTAAGGGAACGTCTCCGTCCTCGGTCCTCACAGGCTCACAGGGATGAGCTCAGATATGTGTCTGCTCCCAACAGGGGGGTTGAGGATCCGCTGGGCTCCTTCAGTATGGAAACTCACATCCTGGACTTTGTCTTTAGGTATTTCCTCCCTGATTTCCCTGCCTTGTCTTCCTGTTCTTTCCACAAATCCTAAGACTTGGATATAGAAATTGCTGACCTGGCCCACCAGTGTACACATTTCTCCCTCTCCTACTTTCTATCCCTTTTCTTTTACTTCCTGGGCAATCCCTTCCGCCTTCTCTTCTAACCGTTCAGAGCAATTTTTCACTTCTGCTATCGTGTACTCACCGCCTCAGAGCCTGTTTCTGGCCTGCAGATGTTCCTTTTTGTGCAGCCTGCATGTGACATCCTCGCCAACCTCAAGGATTGGATTAACGACAGCTTTTTCAAGTTCTCTTCTCCTAGTACGATTTCTGTTTCTTCCAAGTGTCCTGTGTCCCTTTGTTTGTTTGGGGCCCGCCTTCCTATTAGAAACTGTACCCAAATGTTGAGTTACTTCTTCAGGGCCAGGAGCAGGAACTAAAGGGCTGATGACAAGAGCTGAGAATGTGGTCAGGCCACCAGACCCTGAGCTCAACTCTGGGAAGTCTGTGTTTTAATACCCCAAGTATCTTTTTTTTTTCCTTTTAAAATCTCAAGTGCTCCACAGAATAACAGTTTTGTTGTTGTTGTTAATCCTCGCCAAAAGATATTTTTCCATTGATTTTTAGAGGGAGTGGAAGGGAGGGAGAGAGACAAAGAGAGAGAGAAAAA